GTTAAGTGAAACCACCATTTTTCATCAAGAGATAAATATCTGAATTTTAGTGTCTAAATAATACCGATCCTTTCTTAGCAGTCACTTATTAACAATTAGATTAGTTTGACACAAGAACACAAGGAGCAGCTGGTGAAGATTAAAATCATTACTCAGTAATAATGGTTGACAAAACCATCTCGTTATCCATTACTACACTTTGGGTTGGTCTAGTCCATAATTCCTTAATAGCATTTATTAACATTGCTGCAAAGAAAGAAATAATAGAAGAAATATCTCGGTTCATTTTTAATTTTCTGAAAATGATAATTTTGATAATAATAATGATAATTTTGATAATGATAATTTAATGATAAAGGTAATTTTTTCTGATAATTAGTAGAAATGATACAAGAATCACACAAGACCAAACACAAAACACAAAAACATATAACAATAAACAAAGGATTTTGTGACGACTACTTGGGCAGGCCGAGAATTTTTCAACACATCAGTGAGTGTGCTTATACAACAGATAAATACAACAATTCAATCTATTTTCTTTTCATGCTAAATCATTACCGAAACAATGTAGGATACCTTTTTAAAAAAAGTTAAAGTAAAAAAACATTCAAACATTCAACATGAATGACATTGTTCCTGTGAAATAAAATTATTTTTCCGATGACAATAGTGAAAGCATCTCACTTCGCCGGGTCTACTTTGAAACAAACAATATGGCGTTCTTTTTTTTTCTAGGCTGATGTGTTTTGGGTTATTGCTGAATCTGCCAAGATTTAGATAACAATGGTGGTGAACGTGCTGTTTCTTTAGATATCACGAAGATACTTGCCAGTGATCAACATGCTGGTCTTCTTCACAAGTTGAAGGGTTATGATTCAATCTTTTTAATCAGGAAATCAATGTCATCTTGAACGGCCACTCATCTAAATATTTTTACATTAATGCGAGTGTCCCCCAGGACCTAGTTTGCTCTTAATTTTCATTAACGACCTTACTGATATCATAAGTTCTCACATCGATGACTAAAATGAGGACTTTACTATTTGTTTCTGTTTTAATTGTAATTCTGATATGTTCAATAAAGTCAAATTGGCAACTGATCTTGAAAATCTATTTCATTCACTCGATAACTGGAACAAGAAATGGCATGTTAATTTTAACTCCTACAAAATGAAACTACACTTATAATAGTCGTGAAGAAGACTTTTTTTTTTACTTTCTTTCAGCAATGGCTGATGCTAACCTCCATGAGAGTAACTCATTGAACATTTGTGATGCATGCTTAAAGAAAATCATTTTAACCAACCAGGAAGTAACACAGAAATTTTAAAAGGATAAAAATGACTGTAGGAAAGTACAGGTATTTAATAATAAATATTTCAATGCTCTGCAAAAAGTCATGAATAAACACCAAATATCTTTAAAAATTTAAATAATTTCTTAATTAGTAAGGATTGACTATTAATGTAACTTTTTTAGGATTATTTTATTTTTTCAATTGGTTTTATCACAAGTAAGACAGAAAAGCCACTAAGACACAAGGGGTTATTGGGTGTGGAAGAATTCAGAACAGAAACATTAATAATGAGCAGGAAGAGGAAAAAATAATGAGGACAATAGATAACGATTGACATTGCATTTAAATTTTTGCATATTACAGTTGGCTGAAAAGCATGGATTGAGAAGGGATTTCCACAAGTGAGACATGCAAGAAAAGAAGCTGTTAGCATAGAATTTATAATTACATCTAGCCAACTCAACTGTAAATTGATGAGATCTCAATGCCAGTCTAGGACTGCATTTAAATTCAAAAAGTCTAAGTACCATATTGTAGAGTTCATCTAAACAATTACCATAATTAAGTATTTATAAAAAAGACACAGAGAGGCAACCATATGACGGTGGTAGGAAAGTAACTGAAGCATGGCCACCAGATCAGGACTGATAATTATCCTGATTCTTCATTGGATTTTATCAAGGAGCTTGAGGTAAATAGCAGGGGCACTGGACTATATTTGGCAGCAATATTCTAAGCATGGATGAATGGTAGACTTATAGATATGTATGATAGATTCTCGAAAGAAAAATTGTCTTGCATGACACAGTGAACTAACCTTCTTTGCAGCTGACATAGCAATAGATTCAATTATAATTTTAATTTCTTAAATGAAGCATTATCAATTATTATTAATGTTTGATCAATAGTTCTTTCATATTAATTTCAATCACTTTTTATAGCTATTTCGAGATTGTTATTGTCTAGTTGTTAGTAATTCATGTGAAATTGGAATAAAGTTGCAAATGTGAGTCTCTCTCTCTCTCTCTCTCTCTCTCTCTCTGAAAACTTGAACTTCCATCCTCTGTAGTCAGGCATTTGCAGAAGATGAATTTGAAATTTACCAGAGACTTAATTTTTATCAGTGACCTTCCTGATGGCATCAACTCTCAATGTTGTATCAATGCTATTGACACAACCATTTACTCTTGTCTTGATAGTATGTCTGATCAGCTCAATAAGGTCAAATTGGTGGCTGATGTCAAAAAGACCTTCAATCTGTTGTTAACTGAGACTAAGGATGGCTTGTTAATTTTAATACCTACAAAAATGAAAATTCTCTCTATTAATCATCTGAGAGATCGCTTTCTGCCAATCATCAGCATGGCTAATGCTAACCTCCAGGAGAGTAACCCATTGAACATTGTCGATCGAACTCTTTTCACTGACATGAAGTTAAATGGTTATATTGAATCAGTTGCTGGATCTGCTTCTAGGAAATTTGCATGATGCATTGAATATTTTTGCTGCATTATGTATCTAGATATTCATGAATACCCAAAACAGAATCTGCAATGTTATCGATCCTGATCTGTCATCACGGATTCAGTCTCTCTCCAACCACCTTAATGCATTTTTTCTTTGACTTTTCTATAAATATTTTCACGGCAATTATTCTTATGATCCCCACTCTTTGGTAACCCTACTCCATGAAATTAAACGCAGCACTGGTGTAACAGTTCTCGTGTAATTGTAACGTGGAAATTGAGAGATGTAACCGCAACTTCTATGCTAATAGTTTCTTCTTTGCACTTCCCTTTTGTGGAAATCTGTTGTGTTGTCTTCCCTCTAATAAGTATATTGTAGACTCTTCCACTTACTATAAAGTAGTAGGAAAAGTAAGCCTCGGCGAACGGTGATATAGACTGAACGCTGGTCAATCGACACACATTCCCAAGTCGTGTAACACACTTCTGTTGTATTTAATGTTCAATGCACTATTTATTTGCAACCTCTTGTTTTGTTATTCCTTGACCAATTACTTGGTCACAACAAAATCACTTCCGGCTTCTTACTTTCCTGCCAACTGCCATCTTCAAAAATTTAAATCCAGCGTCAATCGTCATCTTCTTTCTCTTTGAATTCTGTGCCTTTATTGTCCTTTCTCGTCAATAAGGTTTACCGGCTTCTTTACATTTCTACATCCCCCTTGCGTCTTAGTGGCTTTATAGCCTTGTTTGGGGGAAATGATTCCACTGGATTGAGAAAGTCATGCTAAATTTTTTCATAGTATAGTTAACGTTGTTCTCTCGTTGTAAAATTTCTTACTTAAATTATCTAAGTTAATAGCAGAAAGTTAATACCTTTTTACAAAGAATGAACTGATATTTTCACTATTTATATTATTCGGATTAGTGTCTTCATCTTTGTCGCCATATTTATTACAACGTTTCGTCCGTTGTACGCTCCGGCCTTATTCAGGTAGTTGGAATGTCGAAATGAATCCTTTATTTCGCTCACTGGGGTAGACTGTTCTGTAGGATCAGGTTGAGATCATAGATCCTCAAGAACATATGTCACAGTGGATAAAGGCGTTAGTTACATCCAGTGACAGGACCCAAATAGTGTGAGTTCAATACCTTGTTAAGGCGGTGGGGGACTTGGAGAGGGAATTAAGCAGGAGATAACTGATAACTGACATCCATTAGACATGGCACGTGGAACTAGAACAGTCTACCCCAATGAGCGAAATAAAGGTTTCAGCTCGACACTCCGACCACCTGAAGAAGGCCGGAGCGTACAACGGCCGAAACGTTGTAATAAATATGGCGACAAAGATGAAGACACTAGTCCGAATAATGTAAGTAGTGTACATAATACCTCATCTCAGAAATAGACAGATAGTGAACTGATATTTTATCAAATATCCAAAATCAATCTTGGAAATTGTCCCATAGTTTCTATCTTAAAGTAACGACACAAAATAATGTGTCTGCCACCATGTTACACTTTTGCTTTGATATATTTGACATCGTGAATTGTGTTCTTTATTCTGTAAAATAAATCTTGGAGTTTAATTCAATTCATCTGTCCAAATGACTTTCTTACAATAATGATCCGAACAATATAAAAAACATTTAGCGAATTCTAACCATACAATCCGCCCGTGAAATACAAAATATTTCAATGCTTCCATCTTTCAGGTCTGTCGGGATATATTTTACGTTCTATTAAGGGTGATTTCAGTTACACCACGTTTTGAAATCTTACTTCGGTGACCCGGTTTTGTAATCATCGACAGGATACCAATTTCTTTCCATTTATAAACGATGGATAAAACAATAATTGGATTTTTTATAGCATTCCACGGAATTAAAAAAAAGTCGAACACTCTCTTTTTCAGCTATTCTGAGTGCTTTTTTTTTAATTTCCGTCATGATTTTTAAAATGAATTAATCCTTAATTTATATAATAAATTCATGAAAGCTTTCTAAAATGGCGCTGAACATTAAAATTTATATAATAAGCCATACTTTCACTAGTTTTTAATAAAGTTGTGGAAATAAACTAATAATATTAAGTCGTATTTATTACCAATTGATATATTAAACTGGTGCTAATTTAGAAGCTCGAATGTAATAATATAAATTTGGCATTATCACACAGAAAAACAAAGAAAATAATTTAGAGATCCATTAATTTTGAGCACACACAAATATACATAATAGATAGATAGATAGATAGATAGATAGATAGATAGATAGATAGATAGATAGATAGATAGATTTGTGACGTACGGTGGCCGTTAATAATTAAGTATAACTCAAGACTTCAACATTAAAATAAAATTGTATTTAATTACAACCGCAAATAAACATTTTAACAAGAACAAAGAAGTAAAAATCATCCAAAGATAACCATTTCTGTGAGTACCTTGTTAGTAGCGGGGCTCAGCTTAATGTCTTGTAAATCCTAAATCAAAACCCAAATCATCGACGCACAATAATTCACACTAATTCGACTGGATAGATCTACTTAACAGTCACTCAATAATCACCCCAGCCTGACACCTGGCGAAAATATATTGTGTCACGCTCGAACCTGGGGTCAGTACTTACCCATTTTCTTCCTATAGTGTTGTGGTAGGATCCACCTAATTTGCATAGTGGAGTACCGACCATATAAATATGGTTGGTACCGGGAAGAGAAGTAGAGGAATCAAGAGATTCAATCTAGAGACTCATTCTGCAGGAAACGTCTTCCCAAGAATATACAAAAGACTATATGTAAATATTGTGTACACTTTCTTGTTTCAATACATTTTGTTCTAAGTACATTTTGTGTTGTATTATTATTCCATGCATTAGTCAAGTTTCAACATATAGATAGATAGATAGATAGATACTAACCAACTAAGATAGATAGATAGATAGATAGATAGATAGATAGATAGATAGATAGATAGATAGATATGCACAGAGATAGATAGATAGATATGCACAGAGATAGATAAATAGATATGTGCAAAAATAGATAGATAGATAGATAGATAGATAGATAGATAGATAGATAGATAGATAGATAAGAACCAAAATAAATAGATGAAAATATAAAATACTACAATAGATAGATAGATAGATAGATAGATAGATAGATAGGAACAGAAAGAAATAGATGAAAATATAAAATACTGCGATAGATAGATAGATAGATAGATAGATAGAGAGAGAGAGAGAAAGAGGAAATGGTTTCATGTTTCAAGTGATTCTCTGACATCGTCTGAAGATTGCTTGGAGTGTGAAAATCGTTTGAGACGCGAAAGCTTATCTACCAAATCTCTACCTTTGATACTGAGTCCTCTTCTCTCATAAATGTAGTCCATCTATACAGTTTTTACATTTAAACAATTTAACATAGAAATTTCATTTACTGCATCGATTAGAAATAAATCAGAACATTTAACCAAACAACATATATTGCTAAAACGAGACCTTCAGGTACTTCCTTTAAATTAAAAGTGACCGTAAATATATGGTTACGATCTTAGTAACATATGAAATTTTAGTGGTCGATTTGATAACCGTAGCAATAGTACCATTTGATAAATCTATAAATTAAATCTACAAAACACTGTGTATTCACATATACATACATATATATATATATATATATATATGTGTGTGTGTGTGTGTGTGTGTGTATGTGTGTGTGTGTATGTGTGTGTGTGTGTATGTGTGTGTGTGCGTGTGCGCGCGCGTGTGTGACAAAGTGGAAAATGTTTTCCTGCGACGCTTTTCGTCCTTCAGGATTTCATCAGACGAAAGTTGTTATGTTGGTGAAACTACATTGCACACGAACGAGAGTTGGTGGGAATTTTTATTTTTTGTTTTTTTAATAAAATCTAATCGATTTCAATTATATTTTTTTCCTCATTTTTGTTATTAGATCTTCCATACTGTGACAATAGAAGACATGCAAACATAAAAAGTCTGAGGAAGTCCTAAAGTTCGAAATTCGTGATAAAAACTTTTTCCACTTTGTCATATATTTCCTCCCCAATATTGTTCTTGATATTTATATGTAGTTATCTCATATATATATATATATATATATATATATATATATATATATATATATATATATATAACTGTCATTTCATCTGTTGGTACATAATCTGGGTAGATCCTAGTAGTATTAATTATTAAAACTTATCCACAAAGAGCTCGATGTATTTATTATAACAGAGCATATGTCTTTTTTGACAACAACAAAAATTGTCTCAGCATAGAGTATAGTCTCTTTCAAGCCGTTCTGTACGCAGCTATCTTCAGCCCTTAAATGTCTGCATTGTTCCGAGACAGACATTTAGGAGGTGATGATAGCCGCGTACAGAATGGTTTGAAATAGACTATACTCTATGTTGAACAATTTTAATTTTTGTCTTTGCTGAATATATATATATATATATATATATATATATATATATATATGTGTGTGTGTGTGTGTGTGTGTGTGTGTGTGTGTGTGTGTGTGTGTGTGTGTGTGTGTTTGTGTGTGTGAAAATATAAAGAAAATAGGAAGGAACTGGTTAGGTAAATAATCCAAAGTCCCTTTTTAGTTATTCTTTTTAAAAAATAGTGCTCGATACAAAAGTAGAGCATAAATATAATTATTTATTTAAAAATATGATTCCAAATCGCGACATAAGAAGTCCCATGTTTCAAAACAAGAGCCGAAAACTTCAATATAATTATTTAAATTATTTAAATTAAATTGAGTTAAAATAAGCTCTGTTCCATCTTCAAGCAAAATTTTTTTTGGAATAACATGTTTCTGAAATTTACGTGTTTTAAAAATTGAAATCAAAATTTCCATGGTAACAGCTAGGGCGAATTGTTTAAGTTGGGTAGGCGGGTGTTGGGTGTTAATAATAAGTATCAGTATAGAGTTACTTTCGTAGATGTCAAGTCAGTGAAAGGTGGGGGTGTCTAAATTTGAAACGGAAGATGTATTAACCCTCGTCTAGTTTGCATGTCTATGGAGATTTATTTATTTTTTTATTTTATTTTTTTATGAAAGGGATTTGTGCATATAAAAAAAAAGAAAACTGTCGTAACATTTGTTTTTTGACGACTTCATAAAGGATTATCTTTTTTTAGGGTATTTAAACTATTTATTTCGGCTATGGATTATGAAGGGTGTTATATTGTATGCATGTTTTTAGTTAATTATTCAAACCATGAATCTGATGAGTGGGCTATGGATTAAACAAGTTATTATATTGTATGCTAGTTTTTAGCTAATAGTTCAAACCAAAAATCTGATGATGCCTACAAAAAACCGTTAACTCGTGTCTATTGTTTAATAGATTATTATTATTTAGAAGCTTAATTATGTGCAATTTCTCATGGAGGCATAAAGGGCATGGGTCATCCCAAGTTTTACATGTTCTAGCCTTGTTAATAATTTTCCATTTAACTTTAGGTGTCCTATTTGTTTCCTTCAGGTGCCAAAAATATTTAGATAGGGAAGTCTGATTTCTTTTGTTTATATTATTGAAAGAACACTTATGCTGCCTCCATCTATCTTTAAAATCATTCTTCGTGGACCCAATGTATATCTTATTAGTGCTAGGGCTCTCAGTGAATGATAAAGTACATTGGTATACCACAGATTTAATGCAGCATTTATTTTCTAATGGGCAGTCTTCTAGGTTTCTACAGTTACATAATTTTTCCCTTTTATTGTCTGATTTAAGTGCAGGGTTTCTATTAATACTGTTTAGGCATGGGGGTTTGTTCAAGATCATATTATTGTGTTTTTTTATTATACGTTCAAGATTTTCAGAGCAGCTGTAACTCAATTTTAGGGTGTTCTTATTGAATATATTACTAAGCTTACTATTGGTGGGGAAGTGTTTATCAATTAGGTTTAAGAATTTTTGTCCTAGTTTAATATTAACCATTTGGTTGAACGGATTTTTCTTTTCCTGTTTTTTTCCTATGGCCAGTGCAATTGTCTCTATAGTTAATGTTAGCATTTTTATAACCACTATTTTTTAGGGCAGTGTTATAGAAGCCATTGTGTTGTTGGAATATTTCCTTGTTGGTGGAGTTAATGCTAATTCTATTTTCTATTGATGAGGGTATATGTTTAATTATGGATGGAGGGTGGTTTGACTTCGGGTGTATATATAAAGAGTTAGCATTAGGTTTGCTATAAGGTTGGTATGTGTTTCCAGGTAAGTCTAGAGTTACGTCGAGGAAGTTTATCCTTTTTAAATTAGAAGAGACAATTATCTTTAAGTTTAGTTTTTTAAATTCATTAAATATAATTTTTCTGATTTTTTCAATCTTAAAACTAGTAGAACTCCTCACCACCATAAGCCCGTCATCTCTATACAGTCCGATGTCCTTAATATCAATTTCGCGGTGTGCCGTTAAGTTGTACAGTATCAGAAGACCGACAAGGTCAGAAGACTCTGCAGAATCTAATGAAGTATTTTCAGGATATAATCGTCTAAAAATGTTCAAAGTATTCTATATGTGTGAGAGCTTTCGGCTTTTGTATTGTATTTTTTATATATATTTTCGTATGTGTGTGTCTATAGTGATGGGAATGTTTTTATTATTTATATTAATAATAAAAAAATTATTGATAATATTAATAACAGTATATATCAACCTCAATAATATCAACTATGAACACGGCCACAATGTGTTGTGGATTCCGGGATGAAATCCGGTACCAATAAATAAACAAACGCCAAGAAGGAACATAGGAAAATAATGTATTAATGTGATAATATAAACTGATAATGCAGGTTAGTAGTTCCAGGAATGCGGGTTAGTAGCAAAATATATATATAGTCTTTGGTATCGACTTATCACTGTATGACTTCTTACTGAGTCTACGCGCATGCTCACTGTGACTCTTGCTCGTTACGTTCATGCTCGTTGGTCACTCGTTCGTACTTCTTTCTCGTTCTTCTCCCGGGTATTCACTACCAGTGGTGTATGTCTACCCTGTATACAATTTTGTCCCTTACTTTTGGACGTTCCAAATTTGAAAATAAATAAATAATTGTTATAATTCTTTTTCTATCCTTTGCAAATGATTCAAATTTTAGTATTTTATTATGGATGATAACGACTACCAGTTGTCAAAATTTCAGCTTTTCACAGTTGTTATTTCTAACAAATATTAGGTTTTAAAATGTTGTCCCTTAGTTTTGGACGCTGCTGTATATATATATATATATATATATATATATATATATATATATATATTGAATACGACGGACAAGGTGCTTTGATTTAGTTTTTTTTTATTTCTCATGTGATCTTACTTTTTTTTTCTTTTCGGAGAATAAATTATATAAAAACTGTTCAATTGTTTTCCAATAACATCAACTAAGAACATAGACACAATATCTTGACCGTTTTTTTGAAAATGAAAACTTTATGTAAATATATACATGCAACAATCTATTTCTTGTTAACAGTTAATATATTTCAACCTTGAAAATGGCTAAATGCATATCCTAAAGCGCTCGGAAAGAAAGAAAAATTGGACAGTTTTTTATATAATTTATCCTCCGAAAACCTCTGAAAGTTTTCTGCGTATATGGTAGTAAATATGGTAGGATTTTTATTGCCGTCGTTTGGATAGACAACCTGCTATTCAACAAGGGTATGAGAACTTCCCTAAAGCTGATTATGACAGTGTAATTATTTCATTGAATGACTGATCTTTTGCTTTATTATTAATACATGACCCGCAACAACGGCCTGTTGTCATAAACTGATCTTAGAATATTCATTGGCGTTAAAAACTTGAAATGAACATCACCGAACAGGCACTTGAGCCAGACTCTAAGTGTTCTAGTTTCCTAAGTTTTCTAACAACGAAGCCAAACTTTCAAGTACTGTCCTTCCGATTTATAGTTGGTCTCTTGATTGCAGAACCTAAAACTGGAGCAGTTTGGTCGCGCCTAAAATAGAAATCTTAATTTGCCCGAGGAAATTCTTCTTCTTCAAGATTTGTCAAGTGTATAAACGAAGCGGCACTAATTCCTAGAAATTCTTAAGTCTCTTAAACTCAAGTAGCGACATTTAATGTCACTTAGAAGGCTTTTTTGTTCATTGTTCCTGTGTTACTTTCTCTAAAACAGTTTACAGTAGAGCTTCGTCTTGGAGACAGCGATTAACAAAATAGTCTCGTAAACAATTGCTGCTGTAGCCAATTTATTTCT